CCAACTTCCACAACTGTGGGGAAACAAATAACAGCTGTTTAAGCAACCTGGTCTTTTTTTTTTTTATTATTATTTTCACTTATTTATGCGTACAAGAACTAGGGTACAGGCTAGAGGTGTGGGGGGTGAGAGGATTCGCCAGAGACAGAGTGGGGAACAGAACAGGCAGATCTACTGAAATACACTGCTGAGGGGAGCAGCAGGTGAATCAGGAAAGGTCTGCTGCACCATGTGGGTAGCTACCTGGCCAGGGATTGAACTCAAGCTGCAGAGGCTGAGGATAGCTTCATAGGTCGCGTCTTAACCCCTTGCGCCACCAGGGTGGCCCGGTCATATCTATTCTTGCACCTGAATTAACTGAGGCTTGTGATTGGACTACACAGGGGGAGAAAAGGACTGCCTCTAGTAGGTTGTACTTGGGGTCCCCATTCTTTACCTGGGTCTATACTTGCTGCCACGTGACTTGGCAGCTCCTCTTCCTAAAGAGGCAGGGTATATTTCCCACCCCTGGTGTAGGGTAAGTGAAAACGTATCAGGCTTTTCTGTCCTCCCACCATTAAGATAGATGACGGAACCCTGTGGTCCTGAATGCATGCCTGATGGCTGCACCTGGAGTAGGGTCTGGGCATATGTAGGTGGGATTCACCTGGGCTACGACTGGGCTTATAAGGGCAGCATCACGGAGACGCCAGCAGAAGCCGAGAGAGAAGAATGACTGGGAGAGCAGGGAGCAGAACCACAAGAGCAGCTGAGACCACCAGAGAATGCCAGAGAGCCAAGATAGAGTAAAGACCTGCTGGGGGCTGGGAGGCCTGCCAGCCTCCTGGGCCCCTGGCACCTCTGCCTGCCGTGTACCCAGTAGAATCCCAATAAAAGCCTGAAAAGCCACTGAGGGCTCCAGGACTCTCTCCTCCTTTACCTGGTCTGCTGGATTAGAGATTCTGCAATGTGCCATTCCTGCCCTTGCACCTTGTATCTGGACAGGTGTAAGATTGTGGCAGAGGCTGGATGAGTGCCAATCAGGAGCTTAGGTCTCTAGGACCTAAGTGTTTGTATTTAATGTCTTACACCTGTGCCCCCATCATGAGCACTTTCTCTGGGTAGCACGCTGGTGGAAGAGAGATGCAGAGAACCACTCCTGTTGTCCCCACGCATATCAGCTCTCCATTGGCCAGTCAGCCAGCCCTGGGACCAGTGTGCACTTCCAACAGGTCAGCAGAGCACCCTAGGAGCTGCTCCAGGTGTGTGAGTAAACAGGTTTCCCTGCTTGCTTGTCACACAGCATTATCGTGGCAGTAGGTAACTGATACGGTACCAAACATTATCGGCCCAGAAACTTGCAAACTGATATGTGTGCCACTTTTACAAATCCCAGAATTAACATCCAGCAAAGAAGGAAAAACAATGAGCAAATGTTATTTCTGTGTCTATTATTGAAAGTGGTCACTTTTACAGGAAACTGCCATTAAGTCAGTAGTATTGAAGGTGAGTCAGTGAAAGAAATGAACACGATGAGTGAAAAATGTACTCAGCTAATAATGAAAGTTACATCATATATCTTGCCTTTTTTTAAAAAACAAGATTTATTTATGCATACAAGAACTGGGGTGCAGACCAGAGTTGTGCGGGGTGAGAGAATTCACCAGAGACAGGGTGGAGAGCAGATCAAGCGGATCTACTGAAATACACTGCTGAGGGGAAATAGGAGAGTTCTGCTGTGCCATGTAGGCTGCTCCTGGCTGGCGGGGGATCAAACTCATGCTGCAGTGGCTGGCAACAGCTTGGTAGCTCTGTCTTTAACCTCTGCGCCACCAGCGAGGCCCATATATCTTGTCTTTTGCTTATGAGCGCTAAGTGATGTGAAGTAGGGTCAAGCAAATGAGTGATGAGAGTCGACTATAGAAATGTAAACTCAACCCCAATTAATTAATTTGTTCATTGACCCTTCCTGTTGTTGATGGCGATGTCTCCTTTGGATGAAATAGGAGGTTCAGAGACAGCAGAGTTTTTCCCCTCTCCCCTCTCCTGGGAGCAAGGTCAGTTCAGTTCCTGAGCTTTGAGAAGCTGGCATGTTACCTTGAGTCTGGAAATACTTAGTGATCTTGTCAGACTACAGATCAAGTTTCCCTAGCAGCTTAGTTAATTACCCAGAACTTTCTGTATTGATTGCGCCCTGAGACTCCACACGATTCTCTCAAAGTCAGGCCTCCTTTTATTCAGTAGATTTTTTTCCCTTCTCAGCTGGGTTTTGGGATGATCAAAAGACAGGGTTTATGCTTGTACACAGGAGAGCTGGCTCACATGTTATATTCTCCTTGTTCAGAGCAATCAGAGCAATTATCTATTTCCCTGAACATGATGTCTTAGAATTGCATGACAGCCGCACTTAGGGTTTGTCATTTTCAGAAGTTTTGGATCTAAGCAGCAGGAAAGCGTGCCTTCTGTGACACTGCTGGTGTTCCCATCTGTCGTGGGAGCAGCAGATGACGTGCCAGGACTGAGCTGCTGGTAAGCTACTGTCTCGTGAGCAAAGGGGAGAATAGGTTCTACTTGACACAACTCTGCTTGGGATGTGCAATATTCAGAGAATCATAAAATCGTGAACATAATCATCCATTACTCAGCATAATGTAAACACCTTTAATAATTACTCAGTTCTTTCACAGTTATAACACTGCTGATCGTGATTCACGACAAGCCAACTGGGTTCCTAATACTCATTAAAAATACAAAGGCCACCCTTGTTTGTTGCTGGGGTGGTGGGGCATGTAGAAATGTTGCAGCTAACGTGGAAAAAGAGTCTAGCTTACACCCCAGTTTCTGTAAGCATAAATAAATAAAAATAAATCTTAAAAAAAAATTAAAGGGAGGTCAACCACATGTCTTTCACAGTGGTTCTTCTTAGTCTCCTGGAGACAGAGACTGGTTCATCAAGGGGATTTGGGACTAGTAACCTATGCCACTTTTTTCTCTACGAGGTTAAGTCCTTAGTTTATATATTCACCGCTGTATCTCCAGGATTAGAACAATGTCTGGCACCTACTACATAATCAAAAATATTTGTGGAGTGCATTTTCAGGGCTTGAAGTGCAGCTGACTCAAAGGAATCTTGGCAATAATTGAACACATACTTGATGCTTCAAACCTGTGCTAGAAAATGAGGAAGCAAAGATTGAAAAATTCACCCCTTTTTATCTCCAGCATCTAGAAAGGGCTTTGAGTATAGTAGGATCTTAGCACATATTCCCTGAACAATTGAATGAATGACTTGAAAGGTTTTTGTTTTATTTTTTACCAATTTAGAGCCAAATGATTTAGGATTTTATAAAAAATGACTTTCCTCTTTAGAGTCAGTAAAGTGTTTCTATCTAGGTTGACAAGAAGCTTACTTGTCTACATGTAGCTTTTGCCAACCTTTATTCTATGCTTACCCACAATGCAAAAAGTTCCTGAAAGAGCTATGAGATAAAAAATATGCTTTTTTATTAAAAAGGGGGAGCGTCCAGAATCCAATTGAGGCAGAGAAAGAAGTTATTTAAGTCTTAAAATTCTGCAAAAAGTCAGTTTCCCCTTTTACAAACAAAAAATAGTTACATAACAATTGTATGTGGTAAAATGTGGAATTGAATGTCTAAAATGTATGTAATTATATGTCTAAAATTTAGAGTTCTCAAGATATGGAAGTGAAGTCTTGCATTCCAAGTTCTCAATGGCTTCTTTTCTGTCAGTCATTTTCTACATGTCTACTTCCTTTTCTGTTTTTGTGACATACATTTATTCATTATTCATTAAATAAATAACAATTGTGACAACAACAAAATAACAATTGAGACAGCAAGCCACAGTGTGTGAATGTGTACAGCCAAAATTGACTACTGTGTGGTTTTTCTTTCAAGGGACATAGAGAATAGTACGGAATGCAAATCATTACTATAATAATTCAGTCTGCAGGGAAGTGTCTTGGGAGATGTACAGATGAATGGAAGAGTAGTTGTGAGAAGTTAAATTGAAAATATTGTCTGGGGATTGTTTTGTTTTATGAATGAAACAAAACATTTAAAATGCAGCTTCTGTAAGAACCGTTTGTTCTTGTGGGTCGTGTACCTCTCCTATTGTTGGGTCTGGCGTTCAAGGGCAGGGTCCCTGAAGACACCCTTGCGGAAGACTTATTTAGTACAAGAGGTTGTCCACAGAGTACCTTGTGGACAAGAGGCGACTGTAGTTAAAGCTTTCACAAAACATTTGCTCTTTGACTTCTTGGCGATTTTTCTTCTAGTCCATGGCTGTTATCACTTTGCAGGATTAATTGGCAAGTACAGCTGTCTACTCTTCAGAATGACCACTTTGAGTTTGCACAATGTCAGCCAGGCCAGCGCTACCTGCCCCGACTTCACGAACTTGTCATTTCGACAGCAAATACTCGGGTGTCCAGGGATTGTTTCTGGAGGTCTGTGAATGCCAGACTATGGGTTCTGTTTTAGGTAGGAATCGAACTCCCCACAATATCTTCTGTTTCACGTAAGAATACAGCATGACTGCAACCTGCCTGGGAGGTCTGCGAATGAATTTATGACATACCGAGAGGGGGAGATGCTTATTCACACCTTTAAAAAGGAGCTAAATAGAACTCCCAAGGTTTCACTTTAAAAATTAGGTTAACAAAGAATCAAATAAAAATTTTAAAGGAGTGAATTTGGTTGCTTTTAAACAGTGATTTTAAATTTCATTTTTAATTGTTTTATATGAAAAGAACAAGCGGCAGCCTCGCTGGGCCTCTCCCCTGGCCCCCCCCAGCGTCGACTTCCCTCTACTACTTCTACTACCTCGAGCCACCCAGGAACCTGCCCCTCTTCCCCGCGGGAGTTTCTGCACGGAACCAATCATCAGGTGCACCACCTCTGCGTCGCAGCACCCCCGGGCCTTCTGATTGGCTGCGGTCGTCCCACGTGCTCGGGCCTGGCCGCCCCGGTTGGCCGATGGTTCGCCGCTGTAGGCGAGGATGCCCGTTTCCTGGGATACGGCCCGGGCCCGGAGGTGTCTGGCGGCTCGTGGCTTCCTGGGCCGGAACCTGGGCGCGGAGGGCGGCTGGGCTTCTGGGCGTGCTGCGGGGCGCCATGGCCAGTGTCCACGAGAGCCTGTACTTCAACCCCATGATGACCAACGGCGTGGTGCACGCCAACGTGTTCGGCATCAAGGACTGGGTGACGCCGTACAAGATCGCGGTGCTGGTGCTGCTGAACGAAATGGGCCGCACCGGGGAGGGCGCCGTCAGCCTCATGGAGCGGCGTAAACTCAACCAGCTGCTCCTGCCGCTGCTGCAGGTGAGGGGCCCTGCGCCGGCTCCCGCTTCCCGCACCTCTTGACCGCGCACCCGGGCCTGGGCCCTGGAACGTCGTCCTGCCTGGAAGGGGCGCGAAAAGCGAGAGATACTTAGTGTCACCAGCTATCACGGCACGAGTGCTTTCCATGCGTTCTGTATGCATTTTCGTGCCGGTTCTGTTTGCTTCCAGCTTTTGTTAGCAGGGCGACTAGGGAAAGTCATCTTCTCGCATCCTCAGTCCTTTGTAGAATGGGGCTGCCCGTAGCTGTGCATTGGAAAAACAGATGAATCATACAGGCTTCGCGCCCTAGAGGACTGTGATAAGTAGTAATAATGACAAAAAAACAGTGAACATTGAACAGTCGTTGTGTGCTAAGCATTTACATGTGTTATTTCCTTCGCAGATTGAGACTGTAGCTTCACCACTTACTAGGTGTGTGACTTAGGCCAAGTTCCATACACTATTTGGGTGTCTGCTTTCCCCCTAAAATGGGAAGAGTAATAGACAAATATGTGATGAAAAGACTTTATTAAGGCTAGAAGATCCTTGGAAGGCATTTGACATTGTGTGACACAATAAATGCCTAATCAGTATTAGCTATTCTCATTTAAATGTATTTTCATAGAGCATGTACCATCCCTTACATCATTCTGGGTCTTTCCAATTACTTGTGTGACTGTATGACTGACGTCTTTCTTCTCCGTTAGATTTTTAACTTTCGTGAGGGCAGAGCTTTGTCTTTTTTTTTTTTTTTTTTAAGATTTATTTATTTATTTATACAAGCACTGGGTACAGTCAGAAGCGCGGAAGGGTAAGAGAATTCACCAGAGCCAGAGCGGGGAACAGAACAGGCAGAACAACGAAATACACTGCTGAGGGGAGCAGTGGGCGCGGCAGGAGAGGTCTGTCGCGCCATGTGGGACCCTCGCCAGCTGCTGGGCATGGAACCAGCGCTGCAACCCGTGGGCCCCAGCGCTCAACCGCTGCGCCACCAGGGGAGGCCCTTTTGTCCTATTTTTGTTCACCCTTGTATCATCAAAGCCTGGTGCAGCTCCTGAGTAAATGCTATGTGGAATGAGGGGAAAGTGATGTTTTCTCCTTGTGGATGGATGTATTCAAGTGAATGGGGAGGGTTTCTTAGGCGAAGTGTAGTGTTAAGCTGGGACTTGAAGGGTCATCAGTTGTTTGTTGAGGAACAGTGGTGACAGAAAGGAAGATCTGGGCTTGGAAGATGTAAACCTAATAAAATTAGTTTCCAGAGTTGCATTTCTGCAACTCAACGTAGTTTATAAAGGACTTTTTGTTTTTTAAGCCATCACTTGTATTTGTTGGGGAGAATGAGGACTCAGGTTAAGTGGCTTGCCGAGTAAGTTAAAGGAGTGAGGTCTCTGTAACTTGTAATTCGTTATCCTATCCATATTGCTATTATTATATGTGCATTTCCCCATTATTCAAATAAGTCACGGCACTGAAATTTTTGGTAAACAGGAAAAATCAAAATAGTAATTCTGGTGACTTGCACACCTTTTTGCCTTTGCACATGCTGTTTTCTTCTGTCCGGGATCCTCCTTTCTGGTTCTTTGCCTGACCAACTGCTGGATAGTTATAATCAATTTTTCTAGTAAAATTCCAATGAGGAAAAAAGTAAATTCCAACCATACCTCGACTTCTTCATTTGTTTGACTTTTAAAATTAGTTTTTAATTGCTCATCTAATACACAAAGATTGATTATAGAAATTTTGAATGATACTAACATTGATATTCTTATGTGTGCCTTTCAAGCCTGTTCCTTTTCAGAGATTACGACAGTTCATATTCATTTGTCCAACCTTGCATTACAGTTCAGATTAGATCTTTTTCCCCTCCAGAATGGATCTTTCTAATGTTTTGCTGTGTAAGTGTGTATGTATACATAGGTAGATACATATAAAAGTATATATGTGTATCCTTTTAATTGGTTTTACACATGTGCTACTTCTGTTCCACAACTTGTTTCTTTCACTTAACAAATCTTGGCCGTCATGTCAGCATTTCTGAATAGGTCTACCTTATTTGTTTGATGGCTGTATTGTATTCCACAGTAAGAAAGAAACACCAGAGACAGAGTGGGGAGCAGAACTGAAATACAGTGGCATCTGCTGAAATACACTGCTGAGGGGAGCAACGGGGCGAGACAGGAGAGATCGATAGCTTAGTAATACTGAGACTTTAACCCCTGTGCCACCAGAATGGCCTGTAGGTGGCCATTTTTTTTTGATAGCTGAGACTGCATATGCTCTCTCTGATGGTTCTTTTTATGGACTGTGATGCATAGTACATCTGCCTTCCTTACAAGGTTTTGGGGAGGGGTCAAATGAGATAATATCTATGAAGACTAAAACACCTGTATTTCCATTGTTTTCAAGTTTACGAGACACTTTGAATTATCTTACTTAATCTTTGTCATGAGCAAAGGAGATGCTTATTATTTTCTCCATTATTATTAATTCCTGATGAAGGTAAGTTTTCTTTATCATGACGGCATCTTTGTCATGACTGTAAAACCAAGAAGGAGAGCATGATGGGCCCTCAGACTACATTTTTTTTTTTTTTTTTTGTGGGGCCCTCGCCGGCTGCCAGGGAACGAACCGGCGCTGCAGAGGCTGCAGGCAGCCTCGCAGCCCAGTGCTCAACCGCTGCGCCACCAGGGGAGGCCCCCCTCGGACTACATATTATATGATTCTTGCCCAGTCCCCCTCCCCATTCCACTGATTAAAGGAGAATACTATGCAGACGTGAAGTATTACTTCAGCTTTTTCCTTTCCTGATTTGAGATTTCAGGTTGGAATGACTGTCAAAGTAGAAAGGTTCATAAATGAGTTAATGTTGGCAGCTGTTTATCAGTCTCCAGCTGTTCAAGATTTATCCTTAACTTCTTTATGTCTCCTTTACCCAGGGCCCAGATATTACACTATCTAAACTCTACAAATTAATTGAAGAATCTTGTCCTCAGCTGGCAAATTCAGTACAGATCAGGTAAATGTCATTTTCCTCTGGATGTGTGAAAAGATGTCAAAGTAGATGAACATTAGGAAAGAACGTGTGGTAATTGATTCTTTGTAAATGATATCTTTATTATTCTGGGGTTGTTTCCCTAAGTACTTTCATTTTTTAAACGTATAGCTTCAAATTTTATTCTCTGTCAATCTAGCTCATTCTTTTGAGTTACTGAGAATTCCATCTTTACTGACTCTGTTACTTTGAGAAATTTGATGACCAAGAAGGCATCAGTAGTAATGTTTTTGAGGACATGGGAATGACATTTTGGGCTGTCAAGTTTGTTTTCTATGTCACCATTTGGATCTCTGAATTGTTTTAAAAATAGATTTATTTTTAGTGAATTGTAATGTATGAAATGTGGGAAGATGTTCAAAGGGCCTTCCTAAAATACATACCTTGATTTTCTTATTCAGAATCAAACTGATGGCTGAAGGCGAATTGAAGGATATGGAACAATTTTTTGATGACCTTTCAGATTCTTTTTCTGGAACTGAACCAGAGGTTCATAAAACAAGTGTAGTAGGTATGAAGGTCTTTGAAGGAGAGCAGAAAATATTTTCATGGACGTGAGCAGTTTTCTATACCACATCTAGAGTTGCTCTGCTAGATCTGAACAGTGGGGATGTTGGGCATGTTTTAATTTTTTTTAAGATTTATTTTATTTATTTATGCATACAAGAACAGGTGTCTAGGTCAGAGGTATAGGGGGTGAGAGAATTCATCAGAGACAGAGCGGGGAGCAGAACAGGTGGATTGACTGAAATACTGAGGGGAGCAGCAGGTGAGACATGAGTGGTCTGCTGCACCATGTGGGTCAGCTCCCTGGTTGGGGAGATCAAACTCATGCCGCAGTGACTGGCGATAGCTTGAGAGCACTGTGACTTATCCCCTGCGCCATCAGGGAGGCCCCTAGATTGTATATATGGCCTTGCCATTCTGATACATGTTCAAATAATTATGGGAAAGCATCTTTTGTCTACAAAATTCAAAGGATTAACTGGGTCCTGGGACTGTTAGGTTTCTCAACTCTTTCTTATAGTCCCCTGAATCTCTTCTCTACCTTGTGTAACTCCGAGTCCAGCTCACCACCTAAACTGTTAAAGAAAGGCAAGTAAGAATGTTTTGTTGGGCCTCCCCAGTGGCGCAGTGGGTTGAGCTTAGCGCTGTGGAGCTGTCTGCAGCCTCTGCAGTGCAGGTTCGATTCCCAGCAGGCCAGGGAGATACCCAGATGGTGCAGCAGACCTCTCCTGTCTTGCCCGCTGCTCCCCTCAGCAGTGTCTTTGGTCCGTCTGCCTGTTCTGCTTCCCGCTCTCTCTGGTGAATTCTCTCACCCTCCCACACCTCTGACCTGTACCCCAGTTCTTATATAAATAAATCTTAAAAAAAAAAGAATGTTTTGTTGGTATAATTTATCAGGCGAGGGCATGCATGAAATTTCTCGATGCTTTTCTTCTTTTTTTTTTTTAAGATTTATTTATGCATACAAGAGCTGGAGTACAGGCCAGAGATGTGGGGGTAAGAGGATTCACCAGAGACAGAGTGGGGAACAGAACAGGCAGACTGACTGAAATACACTGCTGAGGGGAGCAGCGGGAGAGTAAGGAGAGGTCTGCTGCGCTGTGTGGGTTGCTCCCTGGCTGGATCGAACTCGTGCTGCAGTGGCTGTGGACAGCTTCATAGGTTGCGTCTTAATCCCTTGCTCCATGAGGGAGGCCCCCGCTTTTCTTTTAGATTTATATCCATGTTCCCTCCATCTGGCTTATTTGCCTGGAAATTTTTCTGTGATTGAACATCAATTACTGATGGATCTTCTATGCCAGACTAGATTTACAAAGTGAGCGCAAACCTTCTTTGACCGAGATTATATTCCAGTGGTGGCAGAGGGGCAACAGTAAATAGTAAACAAGTACATCATTTCAGATAAATAGAGCAGCCACAAAGAAAATAAAATGGATGGACAAAGAAGGTGGTAGGTGAGCGGGAGAGTTGAGCCCTGAATAAGAGGATGAGACCAGCTTCATAGAGGGGAAGCACGTTCTAGGTGAAAGGAACAGCAGTTGATTTATTTCATGAGAGAGTAGCAACAAGTAAGCATGGTTCGTGGAGGCTGGGTTTAATGCTTTCACCTGGTCTGTGTCTCATCTTGTAGGTTTGTTTCTGCGCCACATGATCTTGGCTTACAGCAAGCTTTCTTTCAGTCAAGTGTTTAAACTGTACACGGCCCTTCAGCTGTACTTCCAGAATGGCGAGAAGAAGACAGTGGGAGATGCTGAGATGGACCTGACCGATAGAGAGGAGGGGGAGAGAAAAATGGAGAAAGAAGAACTTGATGTGTCTATAAGGTAACGGGTTTCTCTGCCAGTGACCCCTTGCAAAATGGCGTAATTGTGGGAACAGCGAACCCTCATTCATTCAGAGCTCACGTGCTGCTGTCGTCTTGTCCTCCTGATCTGGAAATTTGGCCCATATGGGCTGCATCAGTGGGCTTGTTGCCTCGGGTGGGAAACCCAGGGCACCCAGAAGAGGGAAGGCGGGATATGGATTCATGGCTTCCCTCCTTCGGGGTCACAGTGGGCTGGCTGTAGGTCATGGCTGTTAGGCCGCCCTCTCTGCACTCCTTTGGGGGCCTGATAACTAGGAGGAAGCTTTCCCAGGTCCCAGATGTAAAGGCCCCACTGTCAGCAGCCCTGGGGGCTGTATTGTCCCTTCCAGTTTCTCTGTCCTCTGCCCCTCTTTTTGTAAGTGGTGCTTTATGAAACGCTTCTCAAATGACCTGCATTTGAAGGTGCCATTTGTTTTCTGCTGGGACCTTGACTAGTATGTTCACTGCTTCCAAGTGAGCTAACGGTTGGTTCATCAGAGAGAATGTGTCCAGTGGCTGCTGAGGTCTGTGCACTGGCGATGTGGTGCCTCTGCTCCCTACTTATTCAGGCTCAAAACCTAGGATGTCCTTGATTCCTTCCTCTCCCTCACCCCAACTGCCAGGCCTTCCTCCTTGTGTGTTTGGAATTTACTTCTCTCCATCGCCCCAGCTGCTACAGCGCCTGCAGCTTCCCCCTCCCCGCTCCCCACTGGTCTCCTGGCTCCCACTCTCGTCTCCCCACTCTCTGTTTTTATGCAGCATCTGAGGGAGCCTTCACGAATACCAGTCACATCAGGGCACTCTTCTGCCACAGTCCTCGTTGACTGTCCTTAGAATCTAATTTAGAGAGAAACCGAGGGCGCCACGGCCAGTTGCTGGCCTCGTGCCTGTGGTCCTCTCACCTCTCCTCTTGCTCTCAGCGCCGAGCTGCTCTGGCTTCCCATCTCCTGAACACTCTGAGCCCTCTTCCTCCTCCGGTTGCCTGAATTGCTCTGCCCTGGCTTTTCCTGTCCTGCCCTCTCACATGCAGGTCTAGGCCCCGTCCTCGCGCAGGCCTTCCCAGACACGGAGCTGAAGCAACCTCCGTCCCAAATGCTTCCAGCTTCTCTCTTCCCTTCATAGCTCTCACTGAGCAACTGTACGTTCATTTGCTTCCTTGTTTATCTCTGCTTCCTCTGCCTCTCCACCCCTGCATCACCTCTGCTCCCTCTGCCTCTCCACCCCTGCATCATCTCTGCTCCCTCTGCCTCTCCACCCCTGCATCACCTCTACTCCCTCTGCCTCTCCACCCCTGCATCACCTCTACTCCCTCTGCCTCTCCACCCTTGCATCACCTCTACTCCCTCTGCCTCTCCACCCCTGCATCACCTCTGCTCCCTCTGTCTCTCCACCCCTGCATCACCTCTGCTCCCTCTGCCTCTCCACCCCTGCTTCATCTCTGCTCCCTCTGCCTCTCCACCCCTTCAGAGCTGAGCCCTCCTCTGGCTTCTCTTTGGTCTCCTCAGCGCTCAGTACAGTGCCTGCCTCACAGCTGTCTGTAAACATGGTTGGATGAGGAATGCAGGAATGCAAAATGCTTGCTTAGTCCATTGCCCACACTGTTAACTGGCTACCATGACATGGTTTTGATTTTTCTCCATAACACGCTTTTTATTACATCCTTCCCTTCGCTGTTTCATTTCCTTCCCTTCAGTTGCTTCCTGGGATCATCTCCCAAGTAAGCTACTTGTATTTGGTGAGAAAACTTATGTATTTTTCATATTCTGTGAAAAATGTTCCGCTGGAAAACGGAACTCTTGTGGCCTATGTAAAGTGATGCAGATGTTGACTTAAAAGATGGTACAGCTGGGACCAATGTTTTGCTAAAAAACAGCCTCTCTTACTGGCATTGCTAACAAAAGCTTGCCATGCGGTGGAGGCAGGGTGTGGAGGGCGAGGAGTGTGCCTGTGGATCAGACCCTGCGTCAGACTTCTGGCTCCTCCACTTATCCCCGTGGATGTGGGCAAGTGACTCAACAACTCTCTGTTCCTCAATTTCCTCATCTGCAAATTGGGGTCCACTCACCTCCTTAGAGGATTTCTGTGAGAATTACATAAGTCCATAGACAGTGTCTAGAGCAGTGCCTGTTATGTCGCAAGCCCTTCTTCTCTAGTTTCCCTTTTAGTTTAATTCTGTTGAAGCAAGGCTCCCGGCCTAGTACCATCTGTTGATTTTATATTCTTAAAGTAGCAGAATGTGACTTTGTCAAGAATGATAAATTTCAGACTCTTCTTACTTGGTTTAATTTTCTCCTAAATTAATCTCATTTGACTAGGTCAAACTGCGTCTTTATAGCCTATTCAAAGAATTCATTTGTGTGTAATCCAGTGTATCCACTATTAAGGTGTGTGGTTTCAGAAAACTGTACACAGAGTAAATGGGATTTTATCTTTGAAATTAATGGAAGGTATTACTTAAATGTTATTCTAATTAGGGATTACAATTCTTTGTCCGAAAAGAAATGATTTAGCTGTTATATAAGATTTGGTTTGTTTTATTTTAGAAAGGAAAATTTCCTTTTGTAAGCTTTTCCAATATTTTATTGCATTATGAAAACTTCTCACTTTAGCTGTTTCTTTTTTAGTTATTACAATGTTTTTAGATCTCTTCAGGGAAATTCTGTTTCTTGCCCTAGAAATTTGTATCAAAATTAGAAAGGGGTAGTACTATTCCATACTTTGCCAATCCCCCACCCCACAGTGGAAACCCCCCCCCCATTGAGATGGGAGCCCAACTGTTCCCTCAAAAGTGAGGGAATAAAATTCAGTCACAAATGTCTGTGAAATATTTTTTAAAATCCAGTGGCAGAAGAAAGTGCAAACTGAAATTCAGCTGAAGCATTTCATTCACTTCTTGTTGACCCGCGGTAGGCGAGAGGCTAGTGGGGTTACTCCACCCGAGCTTGTGGAGCAGCTAGTTCAATTGCAGCTGCTGGAGCCGCATTGCCTCTGCGCTCCTCAGCGGACCTCACAAAAGTAGAAATTCAGCAGTGTTCTCTGCTTGCCAGTGACTTAACATCAGTATCCCAGATGCATTCATTTATTCAGCAAATACTTGAGTGCTCCCTGTGTGCCAGGCACGATGCTGGGTGCCAAGGTGTTAACAAAGAGGGGAAAGTGCCTGTCCCCCTGGAATTGACGTGGGGAGGTCACTGAGTAACATTATCACAGAGTAAAGTGATGTGTCAGAGTGTCCTTGAACAAGTGGGACCCAGGGTGAGAGTGACTGGGCACAGTTAGGGAAGGAAGCCCTCTTAAGATGGGGGCCAGGTGCCGAGGGGGCAGTCTGAGGGGAGGCCGGGTGCCTGGCGGTCACAGAGCTCCCAGGATTGGGACAAGCAGGTGTCCTGGAGGCCAGATAGAGGATAGTGAGATGGGCACCTGAAGTTGGGGGGTGGGGGCTGCATGGCTCCCTCTGCCACACCCCTCAGAAGGGCTCAGGTCCTCATGGCCCCCTTAGGTGTTCAGTCACTGTTCTCTGTCTCAGTCCCTCCCCACCCTCCTCTCTTTTTGTCCTGTCACTAACCAGCTGTGTTTCATTTCCTTCCCTTCAGCTGCCACCCGGGATCATCTCCCAAGTAAGCTACTTGTATTTGGTGAGAAAACTTACGTATTTTTCATGTTCTGTGAAAAATATCCTGCTGGAACCTGGAATTTTGGTGGCCTATGTAAAGTGATGCAGATGTTGGTGGTGTTCGAGGCTTCCCATAGCTGGCCTTTCTGATCGAGTCTCCCCTTTCTTCCCCGGGTCCTGCACCCCAGCTGGTGAGGTCTGCCCCTCCCTCTGGCACGCCAGTCCTCCCCGATTCTGCCTCTTCTGTCTCCCTTCCCAGGAAGGCTTGCTTCCGTCCTCGTCATTGTCTCCACACCTCTCAGCTTTCCAGATCTTTGCCATCCCAGCTGGGCTGATTTCTCCCTTTTCTACGTCCTGGGGCCCCTTCAGACTTGGAGTGTGTCATTTACTGCCATCTTTTCGCAGGGGCTGGTGCATTAAGATCATTCTATTTACTTCTAGGACCCAGATTGGTGTTTGAACATGGCAAGTTAAAAAAAAATCTTTGTTGATTAATCCTATATTATATTTCAAAAATTTCAACTGTAGAGGTAGCTTTAAATCTCCCTTGGGGAGTTTCTAGACTCCTGTTGAGAGTCTGCCGCCTGCCATGTGCTGACCCCCTCCATATACCCACACGGCCGTGTGTGCGGCTGCAGGTTCCTGCACCCCTCAGCGCCCATCCGTGGACCCAGGGGCGTGTCCTTGACTTAGACTCGTGAGTCTGACATTCTGTCTCATAAACAAGGTGGACTTGAATGCCTTTTCTACTTTGAACACTGCGGTGGCTTTTTAAAAGTTGCTTTTCTTACATGTATTTGTGCCATCCCAAGGATGTAAAGGATGGTGGACTGGCCCATGCTGCACGCTCGTCCAAGCTGGTTCTGTTGGCCATAGTTGCCACCATGGAATCCAGTGCCCAACTTGATCTTCATTTGTAGCAACTTTACCTTTCTTGATTCTGATTTTCTTTTATTAATGTTATTACTCTGTGTTCTTTATTATAAGCTAAATCTGGTTTCCCCAAATCTGGTTTGGGGAAAAGACTTAAGTAAAGAAGTTTCTGGTCAAGGTGAGCATCATGGACTTAGGGGAGGATGAGCCAGGAGCTGCGAGTCCAGTTGTGTTCAGATTCTCATTTCTCTCTGGCCTTTCTGTGTGCAGCCATATTTGTTTCAAAACCTGCATTTTTTTGTTTGTTTGTTTAAGGGAGATGTTAGGCGAAAAGAGCTCCCTCACTTTCCAGCTGAGAACTTGGCCCATGAGTTTTCTTCACTGCCCTCAAGATCACTCTTGTGTCACTGGTCTAGACTAGGCCTGGTCTGGGGCTGGGTCTTGGCAGCCCCAGTCATTGCAGAATCTGACACGGTCTTGGGGATGTTAGGGAATATTTACCAGAAATGGAACCAGAAGATCAGGGCAGCTCTTCCCACAGTGCTACAGGACATAAGCAAAGCTTTCTTTGGTCAGATGAGCTTGGAGAAATAAAGTTTCTCTCTGTGGATTTCTCTGTTATGTGCATTATGGATCTCCAAGCTGGAGTTTAAAATTTTCCTCAAATTATTTAACCTCAGAAGCATTTTTCCCCCATTCTCCAGAATACACATTTACATATTGTTTGCATGCAACTATTTGGAAAACTGCTGTCTTGGACAGTGAATAAATATTGATATTTAGACTTAAGGAAATTCTAGAAGAGAAGCCATTTCTTCAGTCACGTGGTAAAAGGGCATTCTTCATACTTTGCTCAGGAAATAAGACTCAATATCGTGAGTAATTAGATTTTCAGTGTAGATATATAGCAGTACGTTTCTTTATTGGTTCGTGTGTCTAAACTTTCAGCTTCTTAGATGAAGCTTCTTTCTCCTGCTCTTGAATACAGCATCATCTTGTGCCTGCAGCAAAAGGTCAGAAACCATTCATTCATTTCCTTGGGTGAGGTCTTTGCATTCAGGTACAAGTGAGGACAGCCAGGTGCAACAGTATATAGGTTCTAGGAGAATCATCTGTAGGAGACCGGGGTGCTCAGAAGAGGGGTATGAAGAGAGATTCTTGGGGGACGCGACACTTGAATAATGGGTGGTGCTGTGGGGGACGGCCTGCCAGCTAATGTGTGACAGGAGACATGCAGGGCTTCACGGGGCGGGAGTGTAGCTAAGAGAAGACAGGAGAGAGGCAGGAAGCAGCCAGGCGTCGCACTTGTGCTTGTGCTGAGCATGTGGACTCTATCCTGGGAGCTGGGATTCCCTGAAGGGCTTAAGTCAGGGTGGCTTGGTGGATTTGCAGTTTGGAAAGATCGTGCTGGACTTTGTCTTCAGTTTAGATCTATCTGTCCCTCATTTTATAGTGTGAGGTGGTGCAGGCCATTCAGTGTCCCTTTTTTTTTTTTTTTTAAAGATTTATTTTATACAAGTACTGGGGTACAAGCCAGAGGCGCGGGAGGGTGAGAGAATTCACCAGAGACGGAGCAGGGAGCAGAACAGGCAGAAGGACCGAAATACACCGGGAGAGATAGGAGAGGTCTCCCGCACCATGCGGGAATCTCCCTGGCTGGCCGGGAATTGAACTGCGCTGCTGAGGCTGCCGACAGCTTCACAGGGCTGCATTCAACCTGCTGAGCCACCAGGGAGGCCCTTGGTGTCACTTCTTCTTTTTTTTTTTTTTTAAGATTTCTTAATTTATTTATACAAGCACTGGGTAAAGTCAGAAGCGCGGGAGGGTGAGAGAATTCACCAGAGCCAGAGCGGAGAGCAGAGCAGGCAGACTGACGAAGTATACTGCTGAGGGCAGCAGCGGGTGGCAGGAGAGGTCTGCGCACCACATGGGACCCTCACCTGGCAGCCAGGGATGGAACTGGCCTGTAGAGGCTGAGAGCAGCTTCGCAACCCAGCGCTCAACCGCTGCACCACCGGGGAGGCCCAGTGTCACTTCTTAAGTACATCTTTTCTATTCCTGAGACGGGACAATTAACACCAAAAGTTCCTGAACTCTCCTGATGAGACAACTGGACATGGTGTCCCGGCTGTTACTGTTATGTCACTATTATTTTTGTTTTCTCTTTTCCAGAGAAGAGGAGGTTTCTTGCAGTGGGCCTCTGTCCCAAAAACAAGCAGAATTTTTTCTTTCTCAACAGGTATGTTAGTTCTGTAACTTAATAGCTTTTTAAAAAATCCTATGATGTTCTATTTCATGACATAGTAGGTTTATTAGTAAATCTTCGTTAGTAAGTTTATTAGTAAATCTTCACTAGCCCTCATTTGAAGTCCTCTTTGCTTTATCAACAAGGCAGCTGAAGCTGTGTGTCCCTTCTATGTCTGGTGTGATTTCATTTTTCTATTAGAGCGACAGTACAGGTTCTTTCAGTAATGCTGTGTGACTAACTGCCCAAAATGTGATGTGGCAGACCTCCTTCCCTTTCCCCAACATTTATTTATGGACATTTTCAAACAGAAAAATTAGAAAGCATTATACAGTGAATCCCATAGTCCATCATCCATCATATAATTACTATTTTGCTGTGTTATTCTTTATGACACATCTACCCACTCAGCCACCATTTCATCCTATTTTTTGATGCACCTCAAGTGGCGGGCACCAGGGCCCTTTATTGCAAGCATTTCTTGCTGGTGCTTTTGAGCCGTGCATTTTCATTTTCTCAGCAACGTACATTGAACATTTTTTCTCCCTCTTTAGTTTCAGCATAGATTTTTTTCTGTTCTAGTTTCACCTACATTTGTTAGCAGTTTTCTACCTACAGGAAGTTGTAACGATTAGATCTAGATGAAAGTGAGAGTCCCCCCACAAATGGATTTCAAACCAGTTAGAGAAGCCTGTGTAGATCATGGGTTATGGACAGAGGAGAAAATGCGCCACACCCCCACACCTGCATGCAGGACAGGATGAAAGGGCTCCATGTAAATATTTAAAGCTGTAATTAAACTAGAGGGAACTATGTATTAGTTTTTAACTGATCTCAGGGTGGAGAAAGACTCTGTTAAACATAAAAGCTATGGGAGAAAACACCTAGAAGGTCATTTGATTTTTCAGCATAAAAATGTAAAACGTCCACATGTCAGAACACGTTCTAACAATGTTGAAAGGCAAACAGCAAAATGGGGAAAGGCATTTGAGATAAATGTGACAAAATGTTAATACTTTTGTTTTAAAAATCTTCTTTTCAGGCTATTTGATAATGAGGTAAAGTTTGTGATATATATTCAATAAAAAGAGCAGAAAATAAAATTATATGTTATAATTTTGTTTAAAATACATGTGTACACACACACCTAGGTATACACATATGTATAGGAAAAGGCTGGAATAAGATACACTGAAATGTTAATGATGTTATTTCTCTGTGGAGGGATTACAGATGGATTTTGCAGGCTTTTGCATAATTTTGATTTCCATAAGTCTTCTATAATGATACAGTGAATTGAAATAAAATTAGCAATTATTATTTATAAAGAAAAATATGTCTAGGTAAACTTTAACTTAAGTGTTTAATACCCATTTAAGTACCAACATTGATTTGGAACCAGTTTTCTACCTATCCAGTAAAATTGTTGCTGATGTCATCTAGATGGAATGACCAGAAATAGGGTAACTGGGTACCAGAAGGCCCCTGGCAGGTGCTGGAGACACACACTACCCACCTTGAAGGTGCTTGCCTGGGGTGGGCAATTTTAGTATAGTCTGGTAGGTGCTACAGGAAGGGTTAGTGCAGGGGGCTTATGGGAGCATATAGGGGCTTATCAGACCTCTGTTACCAAAAGGTGCTAGAAGCAGGTGCCTGCATCTGGATTGGGACCTGAGGACGAGCAGGAGCTTGCTAGGTGTGGTGAGGGTGTGTGAGTGTGGACGGGAGGGGTGGTTGGGAAACTTAGTGTTTCAGGAAGAGGAGACCGTTTTGTGTGGTATAGAGGAGAGCGGAGCTGGGGTGCATGTATTGCCGTGTCTTCATCGACCATTTCTTTAAGTGGCTTGTCATCTTTACATTTCAGGCTTCCTTGTTAAAGAACGATGAGACCAAAGCCCTCACACCAGCTTCTTTGCAGAAGGAATTGAACAATTTGTTGAAATTTAATCCTGACTTTGCTGAGGCGGTGAGTCTTTTCCCCTAATTTGTGCCTGAGTTAGAAAGAAGCTGTTCATATCGGGCAGCCCATGTGAATGAGGGTCGTACCGTTGGCCTAAGTTCTTGGAAAAAAACCAAGTGAATAGCTCAGCCGGATTGCCAGCCTTTCCCCGCTTGCTGCTCTAACCGCTGGGCCACAGCGGATGTCTTCCTTTACTCATGTTTTCTTTCCTTTACCATCTCTCTGATGTGAAGTAGGGACAGGAGATTTTGATAGAGTGGACTGATTTTTAAAAAAGTTTCAGGGCTAAAAAGTCTAATCCTTTTTTCTCCTTTGCTAGTTTTCTATTTTTAAATTTCAAATAATCCTTTATGGATTTTTACCCTGAAAACTTTGTTTCTTTTTTTTTTTTTTTTGGTATGTGACTATTTTTTTTTTTTAAATAATAAATTTTATTTTTATATTCCCCCATACAATTGCAAACACCCCATTCTGGCCCCAATCCTTCCCCTCCCGCCCCCCACCCCCCAAAAAGTGTCTCTGGTTCATAGTTTTTTGTTGATTTTGATTTTCGCTTTCTTATATTCATTTTCCTGGTCCCTTATTTAAGTTTTCTAGATTCCTGCTATGAGTGAGACCAGAAAACTTTGTTTCTTGATCTTACCTGGATTGGACATCTGACTTTACCCATGTGGAGAACTACATCTGTTTTGCTCCTTAGTCACTGGGACCTGACAGCCGGAGGGAAATTTAACTCAGTGATACAAACAGAATGAAAATAGTGTCAAAACAGAAGATACTTAGCTTAGTAAGCTAGCCCAGACCTCATTGTATTTCAACTTGGACATTGAGAAAAATAAACTTTATAGTTTTTGCGTGAATTCAGGTTTTAAAATCTTTACTTTTGAACCTGTAGTATTCCTTAATACTACCTGAGCTGGGTGAGTTCCTCTCCCACCTCACGTCACCCATGGATCTGAATGCAGCCATGGCACCGTGGGTGGGTATTTAGGACAAAACTCCAACACAAATGCTAATGTGACTTCCATTTTTCATCTGGTGGCTCCCTCTGGGGGGATCCTGCCGCTGAATCTCAAGCCTGCTGTTTTCTGCCTGGCGGGAAAGATGAAGCTAAGCTACTTTAACCCCTTTCTTCAAAAAGCAGGGGATCTAGGCTGCTTGCTCCTGTGGAGTCTGAATTAGGTTTACAAGAGGAAACAGTACATTTCAAGCATGCCCATTATTTCTTGTCTTAGCATTATCTCAGCTACTTAAACAACCTCCGCGTCCAAGATGTCTTCAGTTCCACACACAGCCTTCTTCATTATTTCGACCGCCTGATTCTTACCGGAGCCGAAAGCAAAAGTAACGGGGAGGAGGGTTATGGCCGAAGCCTGAGATACGCTGCTCTGAACCTGGCCGCGCTGCACTGCCGCTTCGGGCACTAGTAAGCTTGGAGATGTTGTCCCTCTCATTTCATACTCACAGATGTCAACTGAGATGTAGTTTATTTTATTTAATGCTGTATTTTTTTTTAAAGATTTATTTATACATAGAAGAACTGGGGTGTAGACCAGAGGGGCGGGGGTGAGACGATTCACTAGAGACAGAGTGGGGAGCAGAACGGGTGGATCTACTGAAATACACTGCTGAGGGGAGGAACAGATGAGATAGGAGAGGTCTGCTGCGCCATGTGGGTCAGTTCCCTGCCTGGGGATCAAACTCAGGCCTGAGTGTTGACAGTGCTGAGATTTAACCCCTACACCACCAGGGAGGCCCTTAATGCTGTATTAAAAACAACAACAACAACAACAAAGAATAGATACTTGTTAGTAACTTCCAAAGATGAAGAAGGCCTTTTGCCCTGGATAGTTTATGAATACCTCCTGCCTGCTCTGCCCTCTGGTGTCAGTAGTTAGCTTTACTCTCTTGTTCGTGACCTCTTTCTTGCATTACTTCTAAGAACATCAGCCATTGATTGAATTAAAAGAAAATTAGGTCATTAGGCCACAGATTCCCAAAAGGGATTTTTGGAGATAATAATGGGGATGTAAAAGCTATTTTCAAAAAACCAAAAGGAATTTATGCCTTTGCTGGAGAAAAGATTGCACAACTTATTAAAAGTCATGTTTGCATTTGGATGGAATTCGTACACCCAGGGAGTGACGCTGGCTCATGCCATTGCTAAGATATGCCTATAAGTTTCATGAATAAAAATAGGAAAACTGGTTAATAATTATTTAGTAAATTGAGTTAAGGGCTAAAAACTTTCAAAATATGGAGGCTACTTAAAAAACAATGAAGCAGTGTGAATCATGGTGAGAGACTAGGAAATTATTCATTGAAAGAATCTGCCCCTTGTGGCTTTTTTCCATTTGAGCAAAGTGGTTTCTGCTACAGGCAGCTTTGAATAGACTCTGGACTGTATCCCTAGAAGTTTTTGGGTCCAAAGTTCAGGATTGAGACTTTTCTCCACCCCGCTTTGCTGTATGACAGGTAACACCCAGGAAGTTTCTATTAACTTCTGCTTATCACCTTTTTAAAGGGACATAGACAGGCTGGAGCTTGTGTGTGGGGGGGCAGTCTTGCTGGAGGCTTTCAGAGCATGTTCATGGAATCCTGGGGGGGACAGATATGACAATCAGCTTAGAGAAGGCTACTCCTTCATGCCCCTTTTAGTAGCATCTACCTTAGAAGGGACAAGTTCTGTTAGTGTTTCTGCTGTGGAGAAGGGGGTGCCTCTGGGAATACGCCCATCGTTACAACTTGCATTTGCACAGGCCTGTGCTTGAGTGAATTACTGTACAGCAGACAGGAAGTCATCTGTCATCTGTACAGTTGCTCGCGTGTGTTTGTGGTGGTTAATGTGATATTAATGTTCATCTCATTAGCCAACAGGCAGAGCTCGCCCTGCAGGAGGCAATTAGGATTGCCCAGGAGTCCAACGATCACGTGTGTCTCCAGCATTGCTTGGTGAGGTTGCCCTCCTGTCTTGGGGTTTCTGCCTGTGGTTGAGTTGGCCTTTGAAAGGGCTTGGAGTTGGGTTGTTTTGCCATTGGAAGGGCCTTCTCGGTGGTGGGAAAGGAGTTAGGTGATGGTGTGAACTCAGGAACGGTAACTCCTATTGATATATTTTTCTTAATTCTGACACATATTTTGCTTAGGGAGCTTTTCTTGTCTAAACTTTTTTTTTTTTAAGATTTATTTATCTATTTATAGGTCCATGTGGAACCCTAGTCGGTGGCTGGGGATGGAACCGGCGCTGCAGAGGCTGCAGGCAGCTTCGCAGCCCAGTGCTCAACCACTGTGCCACAAAGGGAGGCCCTAAACTTTTTTTTTTTAAGATTTATTTATTTATTTAAAAAAAAAAAAAGATTTAATTAATTATTTATTTATAAGCACTGGATACAGTCAGAAATGGGGGAGGGTGAGAGAATTTAGCAGAGCCAGAGTGGCGAGCAGAACAGGCAGACTGATGAAATACACTGCTGAGTGTACTTTGGTCCTTCTGCCTGCTCTGCTCCCCGCTCTGGCTCTGGTGAATTCTCTCACCCTCCCGCACTTCTGACTGTACCCAGTGTTTGTATGTATGTATGAATAAATAAACAAATTAATAAATATGTAAAAAAAAAAAAAGAAAAAAAGAAATACACTGCTGAGTGGAGCAGCGGGAGTCAGGAGAGGTCTGCGCGCCATGTGGGACCCTGGCCCGGCGGCTGGGGATCGAACCAGCGCTGCAGAGGCTGAGGGCAGCTTCGCAACCCAGCACTTAACCACTGCGCCACCAGGAAGGCCCAAGATTTATTTATTTTTATACAAGAACCAGGGTACAGGCCAGATGCGCGGGAGGGTGAGAGGATTCACTAGAGACATAGCGGGGAACAGAACAGGCAGACTGATGAAATACACCGCTGAGGGGAGCAGCGGGCGAGACAGGAGAGGTCTGTTGCGCCATGTGGGATTCTCGCCAGCCGGCGGGCTGGGATCGAACCATGCTGCAGAGGCTGCTGACAGCTTCACAGTATGGCAAGGCCCTCTTGTCTAAACCTTTAATGCCACTTGCCTTAAACAATGACCATGCTAAATGCTGACATTACCAGAAGGTGTTGCTACACTTGGTTACTAGCCAAGAGTTGGTCCTTTATCTAATAGCCTGATTCCCCAGGCCAGTGGCCACAGAATTCAGCCATAACCTGAGCAGCTGGCTTTCTCAGTTGGCCATAGAGGAACCCTTGTTATTGACTGCTTGTTTATTTCAGTCTCATAGTTTTAATGGTTTTGATTTAGGTTCATAATTTCTGAAAGCATATTTTAGATGATTTGTTTAGTTCCTTCTTAAGTTTTTCTTAACCACCATGCTGATATTTCAATAGAACCTTAGCCATTAACATTGTTATGATATCTACTGATGATTTCTCTTGCCAGAGCTGGCTTTATGTACTTGGGCAGAAGAGATCTGACAGCTATGTTCTGCTTGAGCATTCTGTGAAGAAGGCAGTGCATTTTGGGTTACCGGTAAGACTCATCTTTCTGGAACATTGTTTATTCTTGGTAGTTTCACATGACTTAGTTATTCACGAACCACTGAATTCTGTTTGTAGGTTTCTCCCTGCTCCCTTTATCTTTAATAACATTTGTGAACATTTCATGTATCAATTTGATGAGATCTTTGTTGAGTTTATTATTTATTGTGGATGTTATTAACTTCTGCATGTTCACTTAGAAAAATTTCAGCAAAGATTTATTTTTAAACCAGAGATTAGCAAACTCTACAGCCCATGGGCCAAATCTGACTCACTGCATGCTTATGTGTGCCCTCACGCTGAGAATGGGTTTTGCATTTTTAATTTTTTTTTTTTAAATTATTATTGGTGTTCTATAACTTTATTTATTTATTTATTTGTTTGTTTGTTTTGTTTATACATGCACTGGGTACAGTCAGAAGCGCAGGAGGGTGAGAGAATTCACCAGAGCCAGAGCGGGGAGCAGAGCAGGCAGAAGGACCAAAGTACACTGCTGAGGGGAGCAGCGGGCGGCAGGAGAGGTCTGCGTGCCATGTGGGACCCTCCTCTGGTGGCCGGGGAGCAGCCAGGGATCGAACTGGTGCTGCAGAGGCTGCGGGCAGCTTCGCAACCCAGCGCTCAACCGCTGCGCCACCAGGGAGGCCCAGGGTTTTGCATTTTTAAATAGTTGGGGGAAATCAACAACAAAGAAGAACATGTGACAGAGACTGGGCCTGGCCTGTGAAACCTAAATTATTTACTATCTGGCCCTTTACAGAACAAGTTTGCTGATCCTGCTTTTACACAACAAACAAAGCCAGGAGCCAGTAAAACTGATGGGCACAATTTCCTTTCTCATTTTGCTTAATAAGGAAGGATGAGGGTTACGGTCCTCATGGCAAAGACTGAGGGGCACTGAGAGGGCACAGTCTCCACACATGAAGCAGTGTGACTGTCAGCAAGCGGAGCCAGTGCTATTCTGTCCCAGAAACGTACTGAAAGCCGGACCAGGGACAGTGGCCTGCTGAAGCAGCCTGTCACATGGAGTTTGCCGTGAAACCCAGTAAAATGGGGAGCAATGAGTGTAATAATTTAATGCATATGCTTCTTAAATCTCTAAGTTGTCCACTTGACTCATTTCCGGGAAAGGAAGCTTGCACATTCAGAATTGGTTGTAGTAATAAAAGAACGTGACTCCTTCAAGTATCTGATAGACTTATTAAATATCACTTTTAGTGTGGATATAAGCTGACTTTTAATAGTTGAGCTTTCATTCTTGAAAATTATACCAGAAGTAAATGAAAAGATAAGTATCCTCCTCACAGGCATCCTTTAAAATCTCCTGCCGCATACCTAGCACTGTGTGACAAATACTATTTCATTTTAATCCTGTCAGGTTTGACGGCCATTTTCCAGAACGGGAGCCTGAGTCTTAGCTAAGAAGCTAAATGGCTGGCCCCGGAGGCAGTGTTATAAGTCCAGGTCCCTTCAGCGTCAAAGCCCTGGCTCTTCCCAGTGCACTGGGTGACCCTCTCCCCAGTTTTTCAGAAAAGAAATCATTTCATGTAGGTCAGGGTCAGGCTGTGGGTACTTTCTTTTTAAATAGTGCTGTCGTGTGCTGAAATATGAAATATGTCAAGTTTCTGAAGAGCAAACAAAATCTGTCACGTTACCACTACCTTGAGTCCAGGTATTTCTGCCCCCTTAGTACCTGGCCTCCCTGGGGATTCAGTCCCTAGTGCAGCAGAGGGCTTTCGCTGGAAAGACAGCAAACAAACTTATGGATGCCCTGAAGGACTCTGACCTCCTGCACTGGAAGCACAGCCTGTCCGAACTCATCGACATCAGCATCGCACAGAAAACAGCCATCTGGAGGCTCTACGGCCGCAGGTGGGTTTTCCAGCAGACTGTGGAGGCCACGGGGGCATGAATCCACTCAGAGGTGAGCAGAAGCTGGCAGACTGGTTCTATGAAGGTGAAATGGACAAGTCTTTCCTGTTCTGATGAAGTTGCGCATGCAGAGGGCTCAAGAAAAGACTATAGTTTTTTTGTTTTTTTTAAAGATTTATTTTTTATTTATACAATAGCTGGGGTATAGGCCAGAGGTGCGGGAGGTTGAGAGGATTCACCAGCGACAGAGTGGGGAGCAGAACAGATAGACAGACCGAAAGCACTGCTGAGGGAGCAGCGGGTGCAACAGGAGAGGTCTGCTGCTCCTAGTAGGAATCTCCCTGGCTGGCCAGGAGTTGAACCCATGCTGCAGAGGCTATGGATAACTTCACAGTGCTGGGCTCAACCCGCTGCACCACCAGGGAGGCCCAAGGACTATATAGTTTTAACATTGTCACACAGACTTTGCAGAGTTTGTTGCTGTGCCCATTCTGTTCTTCCCAACTGCTCTGTGAGGTAATGGTGGGTGACCGCCAGCCTGGGATGTATAAACCAGGGCTCACACCTCTCGCCTGCCCAGTGTCAAGCCCGTGCCCTGCGCTGAGACAGGAGTCTCTTTCTGTTCACAGGGGCCTGGGTCATGGTCAGTCATCTCGAATATCTCCTGCACCCCAAAGCTATATGTAAGGAAAGTTGCTTCCCTGCTAACTGAGGTGTGTTCTCAGGAGTAGCTCCAGTCTCGTATTTAGTATCCAGGTAGCTGCCTTTGCTTTGGAAGTAAATTTCTGGAGCAGGGTGGTCATCCTGGGGCCCTGTCATTGCCGCACCTCTCGCCAGGACCATTTGCTCTTTCTAGGAATTCAGTACCGAAAGGAAGTTTCTATTTTACTCGTCTTGTTTTTGTACTTGACGTGGGCATGACGTGGTCTGAAACTGCTGCAGACACTGGCCGCTGCTTCCCTGGCCAGAGCCGTGGGGCCAGGACGCCTTGGGGTCCGAGCGGACCCAGGGAGCTAGATTACCTGGGACACGTCAGAGGAGGCAATGTCTGGAGCGTGGAGCTCCCTTTGTGCCCAAACCACCACCTGTTCCCTTTGGGACTGTACCATCAAGGCGGCTTTCTGCTCTCCTGGCTCCGAGGGTGAGGGCTGGTGTTGGGGGTCAGAGCCTGCCAGGGCTTCCCTGTGTTTCAACTCAAGATAACAGGAGGGTATGGCTGAGGGGCGTGGGCATCTGTGGACTGATGGGGATCCTGTTTCTCTCCTGGCCCAGCACCATGGCGCTGCAGCAGGCCCAGATGTTGCTGAGCATGAACAGCCTGGAGTCAGTGAATGCGGGTGTGCAACAGAACAACACAGAGTCCTTCGCCGTCGCGCTGTGCCACCTGGCGGAGCTGCATGCAGAGCAGGTAGGCGGGTGCCAGGCCAGCATGCTTCTGGAACAGTGGAGGCGCTGCCCTTGAGGGAAGCACCGGTCCTGTCGTGGGAAGGTTGGGTGGTCTCCACGTGGTCGGATGTAGGTAGCTGAAATGATGAAATCCCACCTGTGGGAAGTGAAATGGGTATGGGGTCTGCACAATTTATCGAACTTGGGGTCCCTTTTGGCATCACTGAAGGAAATAAGAGGGCAGCCGTTTCCATGTAACAAATGGAATGAACAGGAACCTATGAGATGTAAGGTAGTAGAGCTGTGTGCGGAGAAGGGAGAGCTCGATGGACGTACAGGTAAAGGACCGTGCGGAGGTTTGTGGTACACCTGTTCTGTGCCGGCCCTTGCTTGGTGTTTCATGAGTGTAATCTTCCTGAAGCCTTTCAGTTCCCCATGAAGTCAGCTTTATTATTATCCCTGTTTTACAGAACAAGAAACCAGATGGAGTTGCTCAGTCCTTTATCTATAACTAGTCAGAGTCAGGTCTCCAACCCAAGTCATTCCAGAGAATGACAGTGGCAACTGGAGATGACCTTGACTAGCAGTCCAAGTGACTGTCCGTGATTCTCTTTGTAGGAATTGGTTAGAGGGTCCCTCATGCTGCGCTGGCCTTTCCCCTTCCCGCCCCCCACCCCCAAAGCTCTTCCTTCCTGGGACAGAGGTCAGGGAACCCTCTTGTCTGAAGGCCTCTGTCTCACAAATACCTTTCTGACTAGCGGTACATCCCTGTGATCATGCTACTTATTTTCTCCGCCTTTGGTGTGTGGTGTCCTCTCCAGGCGGGTCCCAGCACCCGTATTACCTAATCTGCAGCCTAAAGATCTTTGATGGTTTCCAGCCCTTTCAGAAGTCTATAAACCGTTCCCTCTGCGAAACCTATCATAACATCGCACGAACCTTCAGGTAGGCAGGTGGCAGGCGGGGGCAGGTGGGTTCCTTCTGCGCTCTACCTCGCCTCCCTCTGCTTCTGCTTCTGGCCAGGCTCCACACCGGAGCGCGTGCTGTGCGCTTTCCCCGGAGAGTTGCAGGCTCACCTCCGGCTTGGTGGTGTCCCTCTCAGGGCACCAGAATCCTTTTCTCCGCACTTTTCCTTTCCCGGTGCCCCGGTAAAGTGGAGCGTTTGATACCCAGGGAGCCCGTGACCCTTGGGTTAGGTAGTTGGGTGTGAGCCTCCCGTGACTCTTTCCCAGTAACTTCACAGACATGTAACACACGCCATGCACTTCACCAGTAAGTGTCTGTGTGACTCTGAAATAGGATTCTCCCTGCTGGCCCCACCCGTGCCCCGAGGGATAGTGGCCCTTTGGTTCTCTCAGAGCTGTGTCAGGTGGAAATGATCCCCCCTTCTTTATAGAAAGCTTGTCTTGGCTCAGCTCTTTAGCCTCAAAACTTTTTCCAAAGTCCGTTGCTAGAATTCTGTGATTTCTCCCTGGAGTGGAGACCCCGAAAGGAAACCCTGCTCTTTGGGTCTGTGCTAATAGTCCCATCTTCATCCCCTTCATCTGGGCGTACGTGAAAAGCCTGCTGACCCCGCCATTGCCTGGCGCCGAGGCCAGGGTGTGTTCAGAGGTCTTCTCACTTCACAGCTAGAAGGGTCAGTGGCCTCTTTATTCCCATTAGTCCTGTTCGTCACCTCCTCAGCCTGCCTTAGCAGGACCTGTGGCAGAAGAACATCACGTGTGGATGCACCCACTGGGCTGACAATGGTCACTTTTTAAATTACAGGTTTGGACTCACCACCCTGAGAATAAGCTTGGTTGGCAGCCTGTCACGCATCTCCTTTCACCTGTTTCCTGTGTGTTTCACGTTCTATTCTGAAATTCATCTCCAAATACACAGATGCCTGCTTTGCTATCTCAGCGATGGGGGCTTAGGTGAGCCCAGGAAGAAGCTACAGCCCCGAATTGCTGTTCTTGAACTTCTTCCTTCAACCAGAGGAAGCGCTGAAAGAGCCTTTGCTCTTCCTGCTAATCCTGGCTCGTCCCATATTGTTCCTCTCCCTTCCTCAGGAGCGGAAGGTCACAGTGGGGATATTTGGGGAGCTGGAAAGATTCACTCATTCCAAAAATATTTATTGAGTGCCCACCATGTGGTAAACAGTATCCTAGTGAATTTACAAAAGTAATACATATACTTATTGTCAGAATATTTATATGTTTTATATTTATGTGCAAGAAGAATTCTAGAAGGATATGCCAGAACATTACTGTGAATCTCTTTTTTTTTTTTAATAATAAATTTTATTTTTATATTCCCCATACAATTGCAGCCCCCCCCATTCTGACCCCTACTGTGAATCTCTTTGATGGGTTAAAAAGTGATCTTTTTCTTGTCGTTGACATGTACTTTCTAAGTTTTTTTTCTAGTGTCAACATTTATTACATGTATGATTTTTTTTTTAGAGGCCTGTTTTTTATTTATTTATTTGTTTGTTTGTTTGTTTGTTTTGTTTTGTTTATACATGCACTGGGAACAGTCAGAAGCACGGGAGGGTGAGAGAATTCACCAGAGCCAGAGCGGGGAGCAGAGCAGGCAGAAGGACCGAAGTACACTGCTGAGGGGAGCAGTGGGCGGCAGGAGAGGTCTGCGCGCCATGTGGGACCCTCCTCAGGTGGCCGGGGAGCAGCCGGGGATCGAACCGGCGCCGCAGAGGCTGCGGGCAGCTTCGCAACCCAACGCGCAACCGCTGCGCCACCGGGGAGGCCCTACATGTATGATTAAGAACATTTTTAATGAACAGATAAAATGTTTTAGAACCTAAAGAGGTGGCCCTTTTACATCTGACAGCTTCTGCCCAGTGTCCCCAGGTCACAGCAGGAAGAGAATCCTAGCGACATCTGTGGTTTCCACATGCATGTGCTCACCAGATCATGTCTTTCTATTTAGGGCTGTTTTGCTGCTGCCTCGGAAGTATTAAAGCACTTGAAGGAACGATTCCCGCCTAATAGCCAGCATGCCCAGGTAACCTGCCTTTTGCATGACTTTGGGTTTATTTCTGAAAAGACTTTTTACTGTATTGTTGTTGACATGGGAGATTTTCAAGTCTCCCTTCCATTGCTTGTGTCTTGGTTCCTTGCTGTGACGTCTGTGCGTTGAGGTCAGCTGAGGCGTGTGTGAGACTGGAGCTCTGTTCAGTGAGGCTGGAGATAAACTATGATAAGTGGGAAGTAAGGTACTTTTTCCTTCCTATCTTCCTGGTTTTAAGTTAGTATGGGACTAAGAAAAGACATCACCAGTGTCCCTGGAGAGATCAAGAATTAGGTCTCTTTGGCAGCCAGCTCCAAGAGCAGCCACTACTAAGAACTGAAATGTTTTTCCTTAGATCTCCCTGAGCTATATTTTAACCCCATTTTCTGTGATTAGTTGATAATAATGCATATATCACCAATAACTGACCCAGTGGTGCAGCTCTAAAACAAACAAACAAAAAAATAAAAGAATTAAGTTGTCATTTTGTCTCTTACTCGGCAACTCTAATCTTTTTCTCCCAGAATTGAATAACTGTTGGGGAAGATGCTGTACCCAGAGGAAATATACTTTATGTAACAGGCTGGGGCCTCTGTTCCTTATCACACTGATTTCTTTCTGAGATGGGACCAAGAGAAGTTACAGGGGGATCTTTTTCTTCCTTCCCTTGCCAAGTATAGTCATCAGTGGATTAGGGAATTTGAAATCATCTGAGACCACAGCCATCTGAGATTCCCACGGGGGAATCTCCCCTGCTGCCCCCTGAGGCTGCTGTAGCCTGGCTCTGTCTCTGGGGCCATGGTGTGAGTGCCCACTGCCCAGGGTGCCCTTGTTGCCTTGGGGCAGGGCTGTGAGCTGAGCTCCAGGTACTCTTGTGGAATATTGGTAAGCAAATAAAACAAGATGGAAGATAGTGCCAAGGAGGCTGTGAGGGAGGAAGGTTAGGGTGGTTTTGTGGTAGTGCTTTGCTTCTTTCTTTTTTTACAGAGGTGCACATATAAGAAAAAAAAAAAACACAGTTCACAGAAAAAAAGTATGTATGGCTGATAAATATATGACAAGATGCTCAGTGTGACTGGGCATCAGGGTAATACAAATCAAATCAATAATGAGATAGTTTGGCCATCAGATTGGCCAAAGGAAACTATCTGACAATTCCATTTGTTGGTGAGGACGTGGAGCCCCAAGGAATGTCGCACCGGCTAGTGGGAAGTGTAAGCTGCTACAATCCATTTCCATGGGGCCCCACATCAAAGTGAAGATACGTGTGTCCCACCACCCAATATTTCCACTGCTTCTGCCCCCTCGAGAGAAGCCCTTGCACACTCAGATTCACAGGATGGTTATATCAGCACTGTCCAGAAGGGCAAGCAAGGGCTGGGCGCTACTTAAACACTCACCAACACCAGGACAGATCTGCTGTCACACATTCATGTCATTGAGATGTCATCCGCGAGGGAATGAGCTCAAACTGCTCATACGTAAGTCCCAGAAAAATCACGTTGAGTTTAAAATCAAGATGTCAAAGGCTGCATTCAGTGTGATGCTGTTCATTTATCCAAAGTTTAAAAGCATGCAAATCGTACTGTGTGTGATTTAAGGTAAATTATATATGATATGCAGGTAGGAAAACATGGCCAGGAGTGATGAATACCAAGCCAGGTGCTTTGGAAAAATTGGGGAATGGAGTTTGGAAAGGACCTCAGCGGCATGCCCTGGTGTCTGGAACCGGGAAAGTGACACTTTGTGACTTGACAAAGTTGATGATTGGCACGTGTGTCCGTTATTTTATTCTCACTGCTTTTTCACATACTTGAAGTATTTTTTTCAAAAATTTTAATCTCAGAAAAGAATGTGTGTGAATTGTTGTAAGAATTGTGTTCAGTAAGCCAAAGCATTATTTTATCCCTGTTGACTCAGTGAGGAGAACGTTTGCCATTTTGACTCTGATTTTTATTTTTATTATTATTATTAGCTATGGATGCTGTGTGATCAAAAAATACAGTTCGATAGAGCAATGAATGATGGCAGATATCATTTGGCTGATTCACTTGTTACAGGAATCACAGCTCTGAATAGCACAGAAGGTGTTTATAGGTAAGAAACTTTGAAACCACCAACCTCAGAATGAGGTAATTCTCAATGACTTGATTCTTTGGCTTGTGTGTGAATTAATCACTTAGCTATAACTTAAGAAAAAAACTTCTTTTTCCTAATACATATGCATACGAAATTAGAAATAACAGATGAGCAAAATGGGCATAAGAAGTTATCATTTAGGGCCTCCCTGGTGGCCTAGGGGTTAAGTCTCAGTGCTACCACCTCAAAGGCCAGGGAGCTACCCACAGGGCACAGCAGACCTCTCCTGTCTCACCCACTGCTCCCCTCAGCAGTATACTTCGGTCCTTCCGCCTGTTCTGCTCCCCACCCTGTCTCTGGTGAATCCTCTCACCCCTTGCACCTCTGGTCTGCACCACAGCTCTTCTACACAGAAATAAATAAAATCTTCAAAAAATTATTTAAAAACGAAGTTACCATCTAGAGATAATCACTAACATTCTGATATCTGCCGTTCCAGACTTTTCTCATGTTTGTGTGTATTGGTGTGTACATGTATTTGTACACACATACACACATCTTCCTTTTAAACAAAAATCTTTTTTTTTTTTAAGATTTATTTATTTTATGCAAGCACTGGGGTATAGGCCAGAGGCACGGTAGGGTGAGAGAATCCACCAGAGATGGAGCAGGGAGCAGAACAGGCAGAAGGACTGAAATACACTGCTAAGGGGAGTAGTGGGCGAGACAGAAGAGGTCTGCCGCTCCATATGGGGATCTCCCTGGCCGGCCAGGAATTGAACCCACGCTGCAGAGGCTATGGACATCTTCACAGCGCTGCGCTCAACCCACTGTGCCACCGGGGAGGCCCCTTAAACAATCTTAACAGTCTTAACAATCTTAACAATCTTAACAGTGCAGCCTTTCGAGAGATTTACGATCTGATGGAAGAAAGTGAGATTCTAAAACTGTACTGTACTTAAAACTGACTGTACTTAAACCGTCACACAACAGCAACATACCCACTAGTGTTTGTTTCGTTTCTGTGTCAGAAAAGCGGTTGTACTACAAGCCCAGAACCAAATGTCAGAGGCACACAAGCTCTTACAGAAACTGTTGATTCACTGCCAGAAAATCAGGAATACAGAAATGGTGATCAGGTAAGGGCCCTGCTTCTCCCATGGCCGGTGCTGGCGCTCAGTGTTCTCACGCTGTTCTCCTCTTGGCCGCAGCGTCCTACTGTCGGTGGCAGAGCTGTACTGGCGATCCTCCTCCCCCACCATCGCGCTGCCCGTGCTCCTGCAGGCTCTGGCCCTCTCCAGGGAGTACCGCTTGCAGTGCTTGGCCTCAGAAACAGTGCTGAACTTGGCTTTTGCCCAGGTGAGCTCATCTCTGTTTTCTTTATTTTCGAAAGATATATTTTATCTATGCATACTGAGCTGGGGTGTAGGCCAGAGGTGCAGGGGTGAGAGGATTCACCAGCGACAGAGTAGGGAGCAGAACAGGCAGATCTACTGAAATCCACTGCTGAGGGGAGCAGCGGGGAGACAAGGAGAGGTCTGCGCGCCATGTGGGTAGCTCCCTGGCTGGGGATCGAACTCATGCTGCAGTGGCTGCAGATAGCTTTATAGTGCTGAGACTTAACCCCTTGCACCACCAGGGAGGCCCGATCTCTGTTTTAATTGCATACATAGGTTCGTGCTCAAGAATGGGTGGGTCTGGCACTACTTTTTGGTTTTAAAATGGATGAAAATAAGCTTTCATTTTTGAGTCTGGGAATGTGGTCTTCATTTGTAAACTCTCCCTGGAAGTCTGAAGTTGTGAACTTGGGGAGAAGCAGACAGCTCCTGAGTATGGGTATCAGGGGGACGTGCCTGTCTTGAGGACTTGCATCCCGTTAATGAAGAGCTGGTCTCTAGCATCTCACCAGGGTGTGAATAAGGAAATAGGACAGTCAGGTGTTCACTGAAAGGTTTTGGAAGTGAAATTCTTTGAATTTTGTTTTTCATTACACTCCCGGCCCCCATGTAAGGCTGTGGAAGTAGGGACTCTGCTTTCTCCCTGCTCTGTCCCCTGCTACCTGCTAAGATCTGCACATAGAACACTTTTTTATAAATAATTTTTGAATGAATGAATTTTGGACTCACTGGAGGAGTGTACTAACTGAAGCAGAGGTTTCCCAAACTGACTGCATTAGAATAATTGGGAAGACTTTAAAAACATGTACATATTTGGCCTGGCCTTGAATGGTAGCTACTGAGTCAGAATCTCTAAGGGAAGATCCTAGAAATCTGTTTTCATTACTGACTTCCCAGGGATTCTTTTTTATTTTTTTCAAATTAAGATGACATTCACAGAACATAAAATTCCCATTTTAACCATTTTAAGATATTTAATTCAGGGGTTTTAGAATATTTACAATAACGTGCATCTATCATCACTGTCTTAATTCTGGAATATTTTCATCACACCATAAAGAAACCCTGTACTCACTAAGTAGTTTCTCCCCACTCCCTCTCTCTCCAGCCCCCATGCAAGCACTAATCCACTCTCTGTTTCTATGGTATTGATTGTTCTGCATAGTTCCTATAATGGAATCATACAATATGATATAGCCTTTTGTGCCTAAATTCTTTCACTTAGCATAGTGTTCTCATTCATGTTGTAGCAGGCATGAGTGCTTCATCCCTTTTAATGGCTGAGTAGTATTCCGTTAAGTGGATGTGTTGTGTTTATCTGGTCATCAAATAATGGAAAGTTGGGTTGTTTCCACCTTTTGGCTATTAAAAATGTGGCAGTTTTTGTGTGCATACATGTTTTCAGTTCTCTTGGGTATACCTAGGAGTGGAATTGCTAATATGATTTTTCTGTGTTTAAGTCTGAGGAATTGCCAGACTGTTTTCTATATCGTCTGTACCTTATATTCCCACTGGCAATATATCACGTTTCTCTTCATCCTTGCCAGCATGCACTTTCCTTTTGTTAATACCCATGAAGTCATATCTTGCTGTGGTTTTGACTTGCATTTCTCTAATGACTAATGATGTTGAGCTTCTTTTCATGTGCTTATTGGGTCATTTGTATGTGTTCTCGGAGAAATGTGTAAGTCCTTTGTCCATTTTCCAGTTGGGTTGCCTTCTTGATGTTCAGTTGTAAGAGCTCTTTATATATTCTGCGTGCTAGATCCTTGTCAGATCTGTGATTTGCAAATGTTTTCTCCCATAATGGGACAGCCAGCTGCCCCAACACCATTTCTTGGAAAGACTTCTTTCCATGGAGTGGTCTTGGCTCCTTTGTTGAAAATCAGTTTGGTCATAGATGGACAGGTTTATTTCTGGACTCTCAATTCTGTTGATTTCTGTACTGTCCTTGTGTCCATACCGCATTTTTTTTTTTTTAAGATTTATTTATTTATGCATACAAGAATTGGGGCACAGGCCAGAGGTGGGGGGGGTGAGAGGATTCACCAGAGACAGTGGGGAACAGAACAGGCAGATTGACCGAAGTACACTGCTGAGGGGAGCAGCGGGCGAGTCAGGAGAGGTCTGCTGTGCCATGTGGGTAGCTCCCTGGCTGTCTGGGGATTGAACTCATGCTGAAGTGGCTGCAGACAGCTTCATGGGTTGCGTCTTAACCCTTGCGCCACCAGGGAGGCACCAGCATTGTTTTTTGTTTTTTTTTTTTTAAAGATTTATTTTTATTTATTTATTTATTTATACAAGCACAGGGTACAGTCAGAAGCGCGGGAGGGTGAGAGAATTCACCAGAGCCAGAGCGGGGAGCAGAGCAGGCAGAAGGACCGAAGCACACTGCTGAGGGGAGCAGCAGGCGGCAGGAGAGGTCTGTGCACCATGTGGGACCCTCCTCCGGTGGCCGGGGAGCAGCCGGGGATCAAACCGGCGCTGCCGAGGCTGCGGGCAGCTTCGTGACCCAACGCTCAACTGCTGCGCCACCGGGGAGGCCCAAGCATTGTTTTTTGATTACTGTTGCTTTGTAGTAGTTTTAGGAAGTAAGGGCCATCTAACTTCATCCTTTTTTTTTTTTTAAGATTTATTTATTTATGCATACAAGAACTGGGGTACAGGCCAGAGGTATGGTGGGTGAGAGGATTCACCAGAGACAAAGTAGGGAAGCAGAACAGATAGATCGACTGAAATACACTGCTGAGGGTAGCAGCAGGCGAGTCAGGAGAGGTCTGCTTCGCCGTGTGTGTAGCTCCCTTGCCGGGGATCAAACTTGTGCTGCAGTGGCTGCGGGTAGCTTCATAACCTCTTGCGTCTTAACCTCTTGCACCACCAGGGAGGCCCAAACTTCATCTTTTTTTAAAAAGATGTTTTAGCTATTGGTGTTTCTTGACATTCTTAAGAATTTTAGAACAACGACAAAAAAGAATTATAGAACCAACTTGTTCATTTCTTCAAAGAAAAATAATAATTTTGATAAGGATTGCACCTGTAGTTTGTTTTGGAGTATGCCATCTTATCATTACAGGTAAATCTCCCATCCTTTAACACTGGGTGTCTTTTATTTAGGTGTTCTTTGATGTCTTTAAACAATGTTTTATGGTTTTCAGTGTATGATTCTTACAGTCTTTGTTAAATTCATCCTTAAGCATTTTATTCTTTTTGATGCTATTATTAATGAAGTTTGAAAATTAATTTCATTTTTGGATTATGTGTTGCTAGTCTATCAGTATATCTTATATCTTGCAACTTTGCCTAATTTATTACCTTTTATAGATTTGGGGGGATTCTTTAGAGTTTTATATATATAGCATTATATCATCTAAAAATACAGTTTTACTCCTTTCATTCCAATTTGAATGCCTTTGATTTCTTTTTCTTGCCTAAAAGAAAAAGTGCTTTTTATCATGAAAGGATGTTGGATTTTTGCCAGATGCTTTTTTGTGGAATTGAGATGATGGTCTCAGGTTTTTTTTTCTTTATTTTATTAATATGGTGTGTGATATGGAGCAATTTTTGTCTATCGAGCTACTACTGTTGCATTCCTGGGGTAAATCCCACTTAGTCATGATGTATTATTCTTTTAATATAGTTTGGTTTGCTAGTATTTGGTTGATTATTTTTGCTTCTCTATTCATAAGGAATATTGTTCTATAGCTTTTTTGATGACAGCTTTATTTTGTTTTTATTAAAGTAAGAGTGAGCTCACAAATGGTGGCCTTTTCTGTTTTTTTGAAGCATCTGAGAAGGGTTGGGGTTAATATGTTTAACATTTAATGGAATTCACCTGTGAAGCCATGTGGTCTAGGGCTGTTCTTTGCTGAAAGTTTTTTTGGTTACTGGCTCAGTCTCTGCTCATTACAGGTCTATTCAGGTTTTCTTTTACTTTTTGATTCAGTGTCTTTGTAGAAATTTGTTCATTTCATCTTATTTAGCTCATTTTTTTAAAAAGATTTATTTATTTATGCATACAAGAACTGGGGTACAGGCCAGAGGTGTGGGGGGGTGTGTGTGTGAGAGAGGATTCACCAGAGGCAGAGTGGGGAACAGAAAAGGCAGATTGACCGAAGTATACTGCTGAGGGAGCAGTGGGCGAATCAGGAGAGGTCTGCTTCGCCATGTGGGTAGCTCTCTGGCCAGGGATCAAACTCATGCTGCAGTGGCCGTGAATAGTTTCATAGGCTGCGTCTTAACCCTTTGCGCCACCAAGGAGGCCTGACATTTTTCTTCTTAAAATTTTATTTATTTATTTTTACATAGAAGAGCTGAGGTGCAGGCCAGAGATGCAGTGGGTGAGAGGATTCACCAGAGACAGAGTGAGGAGCAGAACAGGTGGACTGACTGAAATCCACTGCTAAGGGGAGCAGCGGGCGAGACAGGAGATGTCTGCTGCACCATGTGGGTCAGCTCCCTAGCTGGGGATTAAACCCAGGCTGTAGAGGTGATAGTGCTGAGACTTAACCCATAGGCCACCAGGGAGGCCCCTTACATTTTTCTTTTTAAAATGTAACTTTATAGGGCCTCCAGGCTGTTGAGCGCCACGCTGTGAAGCTGTCCACAGCCTCTGCAGCACCGGTTCAATCCCGGCCAGCCGGTGAGGGTCCCACATGGCGGGGCAGACCTCTTCTGTCTGGCCCACTGCTCCCCTCAGCAGTGTATTTCGTCAGTCTGCCTATTCTGTTCCCTGCTCTTTCTGGTGAATCCTCTCACCCTCCTGTGCATCTGGCCTGTACCCCGGTTCTTGTGTAAATGAATAAATAAATCTTTAAAAAAATGTAACTTTATAGCTATAATATCTTTTTTTTAATCTCAAAAGTATTTTTTAATTTCCTTTGTGATTTCTTCTTTGACCCATTGGTTATTTTAGAGTGTGTTGTTTAATTCCCATGTATTTGTGAATTTTCCAGATTCCTTCTGTAACTGACATTTAATTTCATTCCATGTGGCTAGAGGAGATACTTTGCATGATTTCAATTTTTAAAAGTTTATTATTATTTTGTGGTTTGTGACATATGGTCTCTCTAGAAGATGTTCCACGTGCACTTGAGAAGGTTGTGTATTCTGTTGTTGAGTAGTGTGGTGGCTAGCATTAGGGCTAATTGGTTGATAGTATTGTTCAAGTCTTCTCTTTTCTTGCTGATCTCTGTCTAGTATTATTATTGTCTTATTATTGAAAGCAGAATATCGAGCTCTCAAGCTATTAACTGTTGGACTATTTCTCCCTTTAATTCTGTCAGTTTTTGCTTCATATATTTTGAGTTCTGTGGTTTGGTGGATATATATTTATAATTGGATCTTCTTGGTAATTGCCCCTTTTATCAGTATATAATGTCCTTTTATAAGGTCTGTTTTGTCTTATATTGGCAGAGTCGCTTCAGCTCTCTTCTGCTTGCATGGAATATCTCTAGCCTTTTACTGTCAGTCGATTTGCATCTTCTGATCTAAAGTGAGTGTCCTAGTGGTTCAGGTTTTTTTTTTTTTTTTAAAGATTTATTTTATTTATACAAGAGCCGGGGTACAGGTCAGATACGCAGGAGGGTGAGAGGAGTCACCAGAGACAGAGTGGGGAGCAGAACATGCAGACTGACGAAATACACTGCTGAGGGGAGCAGCTGGTGAGACAGGAGAGGTCCGTTTGCCATGTGGGTTACTCCAAGCCCGGTGGGGATCGAACCCGCTCTGCAGAGGCTGCAGACAGCTTCACAGCGCTGCACTCAACCTATTGCACCATCATGGAGGCCTATGGTTCAGGGGTTTTTTTGGCCATTTTTTTTTTGCCTTTTTTTTTTTTTATTTATGTTTTTTAAAGATTTGTTTATTTATTTATACAAGCACTGGGTATAATCAGAAACGCGGGAGGGTGAGAGAATTCACCAGAGCCAGATTGGGGAACAGAACAGGCAGACTCACGAAATATACTGCTGAGGGGAGCAGCGGGTGACAGGAGAGGTCTGTCGCTCCATGTGGGACCCTCGCCAGCGGCTGGGGATCGAACCGGCGCTGCAGAGGCTGGGGGCAGCTTTGCAGCTGAGCGCTCAACTGCTGCGCCACCAGGGGAGGCCCTTTTTTTTGCCTTTTAATTAGAGAATTTTATCTATTTATATTTAATGTATTATGAATTTTTTCATGTTTCCTACATGTTTTCATTCCTCCATTACTGCTTGCTTTTGTGTTGAATAGCTATTTTCTAGTGTTATTAATTTCTGTGGTGTTTCTTTTACTATATATTTTTGAGTTATTTTCTTAGCGGTTCCTCTGCACTGTGATTCTTACACAACTAGTTCAACTCTTTGGAATCACTAACATAAAAGATTTTGGTACTGACTCTTTTTTTTTTTTTTTTTTATAAAGACAAAACCTTTCCATAGTGTAAATAACTACTGGCTAGTGTATCTTCAGTGTGAAATGATTGTCACTTGTTTCCTGGGAGTGTGGCATACATTATACTATAGCACTTGTCAGGGGAGGTGAGCCAGATGTGGCCATGCAGGAGAGAAGAGCCAGACACACAGCCCTTTGGACACGGAACAGTGGGTGTGGACAGTGTCACATGATATTTCTCTTCCAGCTCATCCTTGGAATCCCAGAACAAGCTTTGAGTCTTCTGCACATGGCCATCGAGCCCATCCTGGCTGACGGGGCTGTTCTGGACAAAGGCCGTGCCATGTTCTTAGTGGCTAAGTGCCAGGTGGCTTCAGCAGCTTCTTATGATCCCCTGAAGAAAGCGGAAGGTAGGATGGAGATTTGGGGAGATGGAGAATGACAAACCTGGGGAGTGCGTGGGCGCCCCTTGCCTTCCCCATACCTTCCCTGTGACCCTCCATCTGGCTGTTGATTTATACCCTCTGGTATCCTTTGTAGTAGGTCAGTGATCTGGTGAGTTTTTTTTAATAAAAAGGAAGAAAGCAAGCTGAAGGTAGCAAGCCACAAAGATTGTTAGGTAATACTATTGCAGCTGACTTCTAAATTTTAGTGCCCAGAGAAGGAAAGACATTAAACTTGGGACAGTATTTTAATTCAAGTGTTCACAGATGCGTGTGGAAAGTTCATGCGGCATTTGAAGTGCTTTCATGTGTTCGCTTTGGCAGCACATATACTGAAGTGCTTTCACATACGTGCTTGACATGAAGGTTGAGGGCAAATGAATGTTTTTTTTTAATCCTATAGAACCAGGTGCCAGGCTGCAAATCAGGACTAAAGGCCTTTTATAACCCCCACCCCCCAGCATCTTCTCAAGGGTATAGCTTTCTTCTCAACGGGTAGACTATAAAAGTATCTGGTCCATGTTACATCACTAAAGTAGATATTAAGTTTTGGAAACTGCATGTGAAGTGCCGAGTTCAACATGTGTGCCATCTCCCCGCTTGCCGTCAGCTCTGGAGGCAGCCGTTGAGAACCTCAATGAAGCCAGGAACTATTTTGCCAAGGTCGACTGCAAAGAGCAGATCAGAGATGTCGTTTACTTCCAAGCCAGACTCTACCACACCCTGGGGAAGACCCAAGAGAGAAACCGGTGTGCAATGCTCTTCCGACAGCTGCACCAGGAGCTGCCCTCGCACGGGGTGCCCTTGATAAATCATCTCTAGGGAGGACACCGCCACTGGGCCGCTGGACAGAGAATAAGATTCTGGACCTGGTCCCACCCCTGCCCTCCAGCTAAATGCCCGTCTGTCTTGTCAACAAATGCACTGTTAGGTTTGTCTGCTTTTCTTAAAATAGACATATTTATTTTGTTCTCTTGGTTCCCTTTGGTAGCAGAGGGCACCCACCTTTTGTTAATAAATAGCTGTTTTATTAAGTTACTACAAGTGTTCAAGATTATTTTCTCTCTGGGCAAAATTACCAACATCTTACTAGACATCGTGCAGACTCTCCACTCGGACATGACAATTTGGGGTACTGGTCGGTCCTCCCGGGGCACAGCATTGCAGGGTTCTCTTCTGAAGCTTCCCTGCTTTGTTGGACTGAACTGGTGCTTGGGCTGGGCCTGCGCAATCTTGCAGGCACACGGTGGTCGCGGACTGGAGATTGAAAAAGAAAAGATCTTTTTGTGGTTTTTGGACCAAATACAAGAAGCATCTTCAATCCCTTCCGGGTGCTGGCTTTCTTCTAGCTTGTACGTGGGTGTGTTTATTCTATGTGGAATTGTATAAATGAGGGAGGATGATAACTTCAATCGAGGAATTTATGATGACTAAGGTGATTATAAATGAAGAAGGGGACCAGTGCTCAGGGGTGTGTGGGATACCATCACTCCCATCTACAGTGTGTGTAATTTACATACCTCCAACCTGCAATTAAGCAGAAACCAGTTATTGCTTTGTTTATGAATTTGTCTTAGCCCTGAATATGCACAGAAAAAGCCCCGTGTTTCAAGTCCAAAACAGCAACAAGGAACCAACCAAATTTCGTAGCTTCTATCATTGGCTCTTTCTCTGTTAAATTTAAACCTTATGGGAAATAATTTCTCTCCAGAGCTCTTTGAAACTGTGTAAAACAACTCCCACTCATTAGGGTGTGTTTGCTGGCCAAAGACAGCTGCTCTGGAAACAAGAGACTCAGTGTGGAGATAGAGACACTAATTGGTGTGTTGATGTTTAAAAATCTTTCCTTAAATTTATTTGAAAGGTTATAGATGCAGATGGTAAAAATTAAATATTCTTAAAGGCAGTTTGGTAAAGATTAACAATCCTTCCCCGGAAGTAACCAATATTGTGAGTTTTCTTTTCATTCTTCCACATATATTCTCTCACCTAATGTCATTTTTAATCAACCTATTGAAGATCCTTCCAACCTAAGAAGTGATCCCAGTCACTCTGCCTCAGCGTAAGAAGGTTCTAGAGATGGTTCAAGGCTTCTCAGCTGATCCCATAAGTACCGACAGAAAAACCAAAAATCAAACCTGACCAGGATTAGCCACACAATTTATGGGCCCCAGTGCTAAGTAAAAATACGAAGTCTATATCAGACAGTGGGTTGCACCCCATACGGGCTCTTTTCAGGACAGAGCCCCACCCAGTTACATGGCCTGAGCTCCCACTCTCGCCTGGCACTTTCACTCCAGCAGAACTGAATCCAGAGCTAATAGAGCCCGGGGGCCCTGCATCTATTGTCTGGGCCCGTGTCCTCTAGGAACAAATAGAGTCAAATGCAAAGTTGGAAACATGGCGGAGTCCCCAAACACCGTTGTGTGGGTTACAGCAAATTGGACTTTTTTTCTGGTGGAGCACTGGGTGGGGGAAGGGTCAGGCTGTTGTAATCATGGATGGGTTAATGTGGAGGCCTAAGAATTGATTTGGTTAAATGGGGAAAGGGTCTGGGGAGGAGGGAACTAAGCTGAATCGCCAGTGGGCGTTGGGGCTTGACCAGACACTTGAGGATTATTTCCTCAAAGGGAAAGTGAAGCAAGTGAAGTGGGTGAGGGGAGGCAGTAAAGACACCTCAGCAGGCTTGGAGGTGTGTGTTTCCAGCCCTGGGGCTTATGGCAACACATAGCTAAGCCTCTCAGAGTGTCCTGTTGTAGGTTATTTATGTATATTAACTCGTTGCAGCCAACAATCCTAAGAGGCAGCAGCATTGACATTTACCAGAGGTAGAAACAGCATCACAAGGTGAAGTCACTCACGCACCCAAGGTCACAGCTGGAAGCTGACAGAACTGGGAATCCAACCCAGTAGTTCACTTATCCTAAAGTGCCCTGGCCCCAGAGTTTTGAAAAGGACCGTATTGCTTGCCTGAACTGCTTTCATCAGTTTGTTGAACTCGCCGTTAATACCCGCGGTCGGTTATGGAAGATAACTTAGGCCAGACACTGCGCTAGGACTTTTCACACGTAGCAGCTCTACTACCAAATGCCATCTCATGCAGATACGGAACCAATCTGGGGAGCTGGTCTGACCCAGCTCCGCTCACTAATAAGCACCAACGTCAATATTCAGCCTGGGTGTGGCGGGCCCGCAACCAACCCTCGTCTCTGTACATGCTGCCTAGTTCTCTGGGTTCAGTGTCTAGATTTTATCCTGATGTTTTGGGTGGTTATATGGAGCTTCTTGCTGGTGAGACCAAAGGAAGAACTTCATTTGTGCCTCTGCCAACTTCTCCTTTTATGCTGTTTATGTTTGGGACTTACAGACCCGTTGATTTCACTGGCGATAGAAGGGAACTTATCGGAGTCTTTTTTAAAAAAAGATTTTTTTTTTTTTTATGCATACAGGAGCTGGGGTCCAGTCCAGAGGTGCAGGGGGTGAGAGGATTCACCAGGGACAGAGTGGGGAGCAGAACAGGCAGATTGACCGAAATACACTGCTGAGGGGAGCAGCGGGCGAGGCAGGAGAGGTCTGCTGCATCATATGCGGGTCAGCTCCCTGGTCTAACTCAAGCTGCAGTGGCTGGCGATAGCTTGGTAGTGCTGAGACTTGAACCCCTGCACCAGGGAGACCCTCAGCATCTTTTTTTTAGCCAGTGTTTTTCTACTGTCCTGCTGACTGGGAAACAGTTCAACAGAGTACATGGGTGTAAGCAGTATGCAGTCTACCTGGATGATCAAGGCTTGGGACAGGGTAGGGGTGTGTGGAACATTCCAGTGAGGAAAACAGCAGTGGGAGAAGGAAGGACTAAGCCCTGGCAGGAGCTCATGATGCCCTCCTCGTGGGTGGGATAATTTTAAAGTCTTACTTTTCAGCCCCTCCCTTGTACTATTCAACTTTTCTTAAAAATAAGATTCGGCGGCTTTGTTTACTTATTTTCTTGGCAATCTGTGTTGTCAAGACAACAAGATCTGTTTGCCCAGAATAGGTTTTTCTGGCGTTCTTAGAGAAGCAAAGTCAAAAAGCAAAGCCAGTGCTTATTTTCATATCTCTAAAGAGAAAATGGATGCCCTGAGTGGGAAGGCTCCTAACGAGAGCGCTGAACATCAAGGAGAGGCCGCGGAGAGGTGCTCTGCTTGTTCTAACTCACTTTTGTAGGGAAGGGCCATCAATGACAGGGGGTTTTGGTCCAGGCTAAGTATATTCATAGCACCATTGGGTATATCTGTGCCAGGACCCAGCACACGACACAAGTGCACGTTTCAATCCACAACAGGTGACAGCAGCATCTATGTCAGGGTCCCAACAAGCTCTCCCAGCCAGCCTAGGTGTGCAGGAGGCAGTACCTTGTAGGTCTGTGTCATCACATCCGGTGGTATTCGCACAACAGCGGTATCTCCTAACACGCATGCCTTAGAAAGAATCGCCGTCGGTAAGCGACACGCTTGTTCTCTCTATGCATATTATTGTATTTAAACCTTAAGCTGAGCTTGTGAGCTAGGTGCTGTTACTATCCCCATCTGACAGCTGATGACACCAAACACAGAGCCATTAAGTCACCAACCCAACCCCATCCCACAGAGCTGGAAATCAGCTAAGCTGGAATTTGGACCACATCTGCCTGATTCCAAAGTCACTGCTTTCAACTACAATGCTGAATGTATTCAAATATTTCGGATGCGGTGCCTAGCCATACTCCAGGATGCATATCGCTTGCCAAAGACATGAGTGAAAAGGTAAAGTATGAAGAAGCCAAGTGCAAGAGCATCCAATAAGCTACAGTCCTCATTGTGGGAGATCCGAGCAAGGACAGGTCAAGGGGGGACAGCGCCGCAGCACTTCAGGATAATTGTTCCAGAAAGAATGAAGCTTGGACTAGGGCTTGGATGGACACTTTCTAACCTTCCTTACATAATTGGCTTCTAGCTTTACATCATGACATGTATATCTAAGTTTCTGTCCTTGTTAGTACAGTGCTCTGACACAGGCAAATTAGTAACACAGACAGGATTGCACACATATAGAATTGTAGGTTTTAACAACCCCAGGAGACATCAACCACGGATCTGTGTTGCTTTCTTTAGTGAAGCGGGGTTGCCAGCCGTCGCCCATGGACGCATCCTGCTTGCCACCTGTATTTATATGGCTTGCCAGCTAAGCCTGGTTTATACATAGTCCAAAGGTTGATGAAAAGCCAAAACCATATTTGGGGATGTGAAAATAATGAAATTCAACTTCCAGTGTCTTTAGATTTTTAATTGAACACAGCCACACCCACTCCTTTACTTTGGTCTCTGGCTGCTAGGCTGGCAAACTGGGTTGGTTACAACAGAAATTAGAGGGCCTGCAGAGCCTAGCGTATTTACTTTTTGGGCCTTTATGGAAAAAGTTGGCTGACCGGGCCTCCCTGGTGGCACAAGGGGTTAAGTCTCGGCACTATGAAGCTATCCGCAGCCACTTTGATCCCCGGCCAGGGAGCTGACCCACAGGGCACAGCAGACCTCTCCTGTCTCGCCCACTGCTCCCCTCAGCGATGTATTTTAGTCAATCCACCTGTTCTGCTCCCCACTCTTTCTCTGGGGAATCCTCTCACCCCCTCCCACTACACCCCGGTTCTTGTATGCATAAATAAATTATAAAAAAAAATTGGCTGACCCCTGTCATGGAGTCATAAATGTCCCCAAATCTCCCTATCAGCCCGTGTATAATACTTTTGGGAGAAAAATACACAATTTTCTGCATCCACCATTCAGAATCGCCTGTGGCTAACATGTTGTGATTCAGATCCATTTATCGGTGAAAGGCACGGACTTCACAGCATCCCTGCTCCCTGTCTCTCACTTTCTGTTCGAACTTCCTTCTTTGGGGTAGACCTCATGAATTTCACCTGCTCTCGCCCCTCTTGGCTTTGCAAACACCCGTATGTCAGCTTATGGCCACTGCCGATGCAGACCTCGGGGGCTCTAGGTCCGCCCACAGTGTGCACCTTCACCGAGTCTGCAACTTTGACTTGTTTTGGGATCTCCTGCTGCACCCCTTGGAACACCCCTCGTGCTTCCCACACAGCAGCACCCGTCACTGTCACTCGCCCACCCCTGAGGGACTCTGTAGGGGAGTCGCGGGTTCTCGTCCCAGCACACCAGGCACGTGCTTGCGCGGGGTGAGGGCGCGGCCTGTCCTCAACCCGGCCCTGGAAGCCCCCTCTGCGCTCGGGATGCCCCCGGCCGCCCGCGGGGTCAGTGAGCTCGTCCCTGGGGGAATTTTCGGGCCGTCGTGACCACCCAAGAGCCGCGGGTCAGCCCGCCCTGGAGGCCCCCCCCGGTGCTGTCACCCAGCCGGAGACTCCACGCGCGCTGAGGGCTCCGGCCAAGTTGGGGGCCGGAGGAGACGCGCCCGGAGGACGCGCGGAGTCACCGGGAGCACCTGAGTCCGGGAGGCCGCGCGGGCGCCCGCGGGCTGGCGCGTGCCGGGGGCGGGGGCTGCGAGGAGCTCGCACCCCAGCCGCCCTGGGCGCGGGGCTGAGCGGCGCGGGGGGCCGGCGAGGGGGCGCGCCCGGACAGGCTGCTGACCCCGAGCCCGGGCATGTCCTCCGCGGGCGGCGGGCGGCTCGGGCGGGAGGCGGCCCGGGCGTCCCGCGGGCTCGGGGAACTTCCCGAGACTCCGACGCCGCCCGCCGTCCCGGCGCCCCGAGAGACAAAGGGGGGGGCGGCGGGTGGGGCGCCCGGGCGGGCCTCTCCCCTCGGGCGGGTGGCGGCTCGGAGGCCCCCGCCGCCCCCGCCCGGGC